GCCCCGGGGTTCCCCTGTCCCCACCCACACACACCACATCAGGGCCTGGACTCCCCACAACCTCTGACACAGAAACCACCCCTAGAAAAGGGAACTTCAGGCCCTGAGCCCTGCCCCCAGTTTCGGTCCCACTCTCCGAGTTTAAGGCGGGAGGGCTGAGTTCACATCCCTGGGGGCTGCGCTGCCAACTCCCAGGAAGCTGGAGCCACAGCAACTGACAGCATGGGGCGCAGCCCCATGTGCCACAGCTCAGGCAGAAGACTGGGAAGCTCCCTCCCCACTCACTTTGGGGAGTGTGTAGGAGCCTGAGGCAGAGGCTGCCGGAGCCAGCGCAGGGCAGGTGAGTGCCTTGGGGAGAGGGAGGGACAGGCAGGACAGGACAGGCCCACGCTGACCAGGCAGAGCCCCCGGGCTGATGAGGCCTGCACCAGGAGCAGATGGCACAGGGCAGGCGGACCTGCTGTCTGAGGCATGGCCCACGAGCTATGCTATGAGCAGGACAATGCCCACCTGGACGTCAAGCACAGGGCAGGGGCAGGAGGGGTCAGGGCTGAGGATGCAGCACAGAGGAGGGGGCGCAGATGAACAGAGTGCCCTGTCCAGGTGGCCCAAGGCCACGGCGGGGCAGAGGCGGTGGCTGACTGGGAGAAGAGGTACACAGGCTGCGGAGGGTCTCGGCCTGGGAGCAAGGGGCACAGCCCCCCCACAAAGGTGGGAGGTTGTGTCTTTTGCTGCAGTACAACCTGGAGGCTGTCAGTCTGGGAGTGTGGCCGAGTGTGCAGAGCAGGTGTGCAGGCAGGCGTGGGGCTACGAGGTCCAGGAGCTCACCCCAGGGGACCAGGTGGGGCTCTGTGGGATGGAGCAAGCCCAGGTGCCCAACCTGGGCTGAGGGATGGCAGGGGAGTGTAGGGTGGAGAAGGGCTGGAATCTCAGGGAGAGCAACAGGACAGAAACAAGTGAGCAGGGGTAGGGGGGAGCAGGGAGAGCAGGGGAGGGCAGGGAGCTCAGGGAGAGTAGGGGAGGCTAGGGGAAGGCAGGGAGCATAGGAGAGAGCAGGGGAGAGCGGTGGAGGGTAGGAGTGAGCAGGAGGCTCAGGGATAGCAAGGGATGTGGGGAGGGCAGAGCGCTCAGACAAAGCAGGGGAGAAGAGGCAGGAGGACTGCCGAAATGGGCAGAGGGGGGCAGGGGAGGGGAGGGCGGGGGTGGAGAAAGGCAGGACAAGAGATTCAATGTGAGCAGCAGAGAAGCAGGACCAGGGGAGAGCAGGGAAGAATAAAGGAGGGCTGGGGAGAACAGGAGAGGGTAAGAGAGGGCAGGAAGCTCAGGCAGAGCAGGGAGGGGAGGGCAGGGAAGGGAGTTCAGAGCAAGCAGCAGGGGAACTGGAGCAGGTGAGCAGATTTAGACATAGAGCAGGAGGGGGGAGGGGGGCAGGGAGCTCACAGAAAGCAGGGGTGGGGAGAAGAGGCAGGAGGACAGTAGAGAAGGGCAAGCATGGGGAGGGGAGGGTGGGGAGGGGTAGAGAAAGGTGGGAAAAGCAGGAAATTGAAAGTGAGAGGCAGGGGAGCAGGACCAGAGGAGAGCAGGGAGGAGGGTACAGGAGGGCAGGGAGGTAGAAGGGGGGCGGGAGTTCAGAGCAAGCAGTAGGGGATCAGGAGCTGGTAAGCAGGGGTGGAGAGAGCAGGGAAGAGCAGGAGAGGGCAGGGGAGGACAGTGAAAGCAGCAGGGGACAGGGCAGAGGGAAAGCAGGGAAGAACAGAGGATGGCAGGGGAGCCTAGGAAAGGGCAGGGAAAGAACAGAAGGGGAGGGAAAGGCAAGGGAGGGGAGGTCAGGGAATTCAGGGTGAGCAGCAGGGGAGAAAGGACAGCTGGGCAGGGAGAGTAGGGAAGGGTCTAAGAGGCCAGGGGAGCTAGGAGAGAGCAGGGGAGGGTAGAGGAGGCCAGGGGAGCTGGGAGAGAGCAGGGGAGGGTAGAGGAGGCCAGGGGAGCTGGGAGAGAGCAGGGGAGGGTAGAGGAGGCCAGGGGAGCTGGGAGAGAGCAGGGGAGGGTAGAGGAGGCCAGGGGAGCTGGGAGAGAACAGGGGAGAGTAGAGGAGGCCAGGGGAGCTGGGAGAGAACAGGGGAGAGTAGAGGAGGCCAGGGGAGCTGGGAGAGAGCAGGGGAGGGTAGAGGTGGCCAGGGGAGCTGGGAGAGAGCAGGGGAGGGTAGAGGTGGCCAGGGGAGCTGGGAGAGAGCAGGGGAGGGGAGGGAGGATAGAGGATGGAAGGTAGGCCCAGGCAAGCAGCAGAGGAGCAAAAGCAGTGGGAGGGGGAGTAGTGGAGGCCAGGGGAGCTGGGAGAGAGCAGAGGCGGGTAGTGGAGGCCAGGGGAGCTGGGAGAGAGCAGAGGCGGGTAGTGGAGGCCAGGGGAGCTGGGAGAGAGCAGAGGCGGGTAGTGGAGGCCAGGGGAGCTGGGAGAGAGCAGAGGCGGGTAGTGGAGGCCAGGGGAGCTGGGAGAGAGCAGAGGCGGGTAGTGGAGGCCAGGGGAGCTGGGAGAGAGCAGAGGCGGGTAGTGGAGGCCAGGGGAGCTGGGAGAGAGCAGAGGCGGGTAGTGGAGGCCAGGGGAGCTGGGAGAGAGCAGAGGCGGGTAGTGGAGGCCAGGGGAGCTGGGAGAGAGCAGAGGCGGGTAGTGGAGGCCAGGGGAGCTGGGAGAGAGCAGAGGCGGGTAGTGGAGGCCAGGGGAGCTGGGAGAGAGCAGAGGCGGGTAGTGGAGGCCAGGGGAGCTGGGAGAGAGCAGAGGCGGGTAGTGGAGGCCAGGGGAGCTGGGAGAGAGCAGAGGCGGGTAGTGGAGGCCAGGGGAGCTGGGAGAGAGCAGAGGCGGGTAGTGGAGGCCAGGGGAGCTGGGAGAGAGCAGAGGCGGGTAGTGGAGGCCAGGGGAGCTGGGAGAGAGCAGAGGCGGGTAGTGGAGGCCAGGGGAGCTGGGAGAGAGCAGAGGCGGGTAGTGGAGGCCAGGGGAGCTGGGAGAGAGCAGAGGCGGGTAGTGGAGGCCAGGGGAGCTGGGAGAGAGCAGAGGCGGGTAGTGGAGGCCAGGGGAGCTGGGAGAGAGCAGAGGCGGGTAGTGGAGGCCAGGGGAGCTGGGAGAGAGCAGAGGCGGGTAGTGGAGGCCAGGGGAGCTGGGAGAGAGCAGAGGCGGGTAGTGGAGGCCAGGGGAGCTGGGAGAGAGCAGAGGCGGGTAGTGGAGGCCAGGGGAGCTGGGAGAGAGCAGAGGCGGGTAGTGGAGGCCAGGGGAGCTGGGAGAGAGCAGAGGCGGGTAGTGGAGGCCAGGGGAGCTGGGAGAGAGCAGGGGAGGGGAGGGAGGGTAGAGGATGGAAGGTAGGCCCAGGCAAGCAGCAGAGGAGCAAAAGCAGGTGAGCAGAAGCAGGGCGGGGGCAGAGAGGGTAGAGGAGGGCCAGAAGAGCAGGGAGCTCAGGAAGAGCAGGGGAAAGTAGAGGAGGGAAGGCAATTCAGAGCAAGCAGTAGGGAGCAGGAGCAGGTGAGCAGGGGTAGGGAAGAGCAGAAAAGGGTCCAGGAAGGCAGGGGATGACAGGGAGCTCAGTGAGAGCAGCAGGGGAGCAGGGGCAGGGAGGGAGCAGGGAAGAGTAAACAAGGGCAGGGGAGCATAGGGGAGGTCAGGGGAGGGTAGAGAAAGACAGCGGAGTAGGGTGAGGACAGGGAGTTCAGGGTGAGCATCAGGGGAGCAGGAGCAGGTGAGCAGGGGCAGAGGAGAGCAGGGAAGGGTAGATGAGAGCAGGGGGGCCTAGAGGACAGCAGGGGAGGGTAGTTCAGGGAGACCAGAGCAGGGTAGAGGACGGAGGAAAGGTCATAGCAAGCAGCAGGGGAGCAAGAGCAGGTGAGCAGGGGCAGGAGGTAGGCAGGGGAGCATAGGGGAGGGCAGGAGAGTACGGGAAGTGCAGGGGAGCATAGGGGAGGGAAGGAGAGCACGGGGAGGGCAGGGAGTATAGGGGAGGACAGGGGAGCATAGAGGAGGGCAGGAGATCACGGGGAGGGCAAGGGAACATAGGAGAGGGCAGGGGAGGTAGAGGAGAGCGGTGTTCAGAGCAAGCAGCAGGAGGAAGAGAGCGGTGGATATGGGCACACAGGAGCCATAGGGGAGAGAGAGGGAGGGGATCAGGGAGTTCAAGGTGAGTAGGGATGGGTAGAAGAGGGAACAGAGTTCAGGACAAGCAGCATGGGAGCAGGCACAAGTGAGCAGGGGAAGGGAGCCTAGGAGAGAGTGGGGGAGGAAAGGGGAGGGCAGGGAGCACAGGGAGAGCAGAGGAGGGCAGAGGAGGGAAGGGGACATCAGGAGAGGATAGGAGAAGGAAGGGGTGCATAGAGGAGGGCAGGGAGCGAAGGGGAGGGAAGAGAAAGGCAGGGGAGGGAAGGGGATTCCAGGGAGCTCAGGGAAAGCAGGGGAGGGATGGGGATGACAAGGATCTCAAAGAGAGCAGGGAGGGGAGGGCAGGGAGCTCAGGAAGAGTAGGGGAGTGTAAGGGAGGGCAGGGAACTCAAGGAGAGCAGTAGGTCAGGGGCAGATGAGCAGGGACAGCAGGAGGGCTAGGAAGGGTAGGGGAGAGGAGGGTGGAGCCTGTCTGGGCTAAGCTTGGTGCAGGAGCAGAGAAGGTTCCCGTTCTGGGAAGTCTCTGGCAGGGCCAAAGGGGCCTGTGCGAGCGCAGGGCGAGGGTCCCAGCGGTCGGGTGCTGGCGGAGGTGGCGAGCTGGGGTCAGGCGCAGGGACAGGCAGCAGTCCTGGTGAGCCACAGGCGGTGGAGGAGCAGCAGGAGCACTAGCGGGCCAGGAGCACAGGAGCGCGGTGAGCAGAGGGAAGGCCACGGGGCAGAGCAGCCCAGGGGCCGGACTAGCTCGAAAGAGCCCTGGCTGTGGGGAAGGGCCCAGGCAGAGCTCACAGGAGGGTGCAGAGGGATGCGGCTGCAGGCCAGGAGGGGCCCAGGGCTGGCACGGAGAGAGGACCCTGGGCAGGGAAGGTCCATGGGGCTGGGACACCTGAAGGAACCATGTGGGCAGCTCTTGGGCCAGGGGCCCAGCTCTGTCCCTGGGGGCTGGTGGAGGCCCGGGACAGGAGGGCAGGCATGCTGAACTAACAGAGCGGAGGGGGCTGTGCGGGGCCTGAGCAGGAGCTGCTAGAGCCAGGGGTGCAGGGCAGAGGCCAGGCCGGGCCCTCGGGCTGAGCGGGGGACCAGATCGGAGGGGCCTGGCCTGGCAGAGGGCAGGCTTGGCTTCCTGAAGGGGCCAGGGCTCTGGCCAGCACCAGAAGGAGAAAATGGGCCTCCCTGGGTCCTGGGGGTGCTGGCAGCATGTGGGGAAGGGGAAGGCCGAGGGTGGGTGCCAGTCTCCTACCTGTGCTTGGGAGAGACGGGCTGGGCTCACGAAGCAGGTGGTCAGAGCCCACCCAGGGCCTGAGAGGGCAGAGGGCAGGGACCTGGGCGGGAGGGCCCTTGGTGGACCTCGGAGCTCAGAGGAGCGGTGGGTCGGCTGAGCGTGGATTCAGCAGCCTGAGTTGGCGGAGGCGGTGGTCTGAGGGAGCAGTCCCAGGACAGGTGTCCAGGACTGGGAGCTGGGCTACAGTACACCTGCAGAAGCCACAGGGCCTGGAGGGCAGAGCAGGTCGTGACCAAGACTGCGACCAAGGGTGGGCAGAGGCCAGCGCTCACTGCGGCCGAAGAGGGGCCACTCACCCAGGGCAGGGCTAGGCTGAGGAGCAGGCCAAGAACGGGGGCCCCTGGGCACCCCCAGGAGGCTGGAGTGGGGCAAGTAGCCAGGGGCCCAGGGCTGCGCTGACCCCAGGTCAGGCCCAGCATCCAAGGCCCTAGGGCAGCAGAGCCACGACTGGCCCTGCAAACTTTCTGAAAGCACAAGAGGAGGATGCTGGGCTCAGGGGTTCTGTTCTGGAGCCCTCAGGACAAGGAGGGAGCTCACGGGAGCCCAGTGTGGCCAGCCAGGTGGCACCTGATGCCTCTGAGCCCAGACACTGGTCCCTGCCTGGCTCCCCGCAGGAGAGCTGGGAGGGGGCTTCTGGGGCCTGGGTCTGGCTGCCTCACGCCAGGCTCAGTCAGCACCTCCTCTTGCAGCCAGCACCACGGCCCCATCAGTCTTCCCGCTGACCTCCAGCACCGACTCCAACCCCACGGCGGCCCTGGGCTGCCTGATCAAAGACTACTTCCCCGAGCCTGTGACCGTGACCTGGAACTCGGGCAAGCTGACCAGCGGCGTGCACACCTTCCCGGCCGTCCTGCAGTCCTCGGGGCTGTACGCCAGCAGCAGCATGGTGACCGTGCCAGCCAGCAGCTTGAAGGGCCAGCCCTTCGTTTGTAACGTTGCCCACCAGGCCAGCGGGACCAAACAGGATAAGAAGATTGGTGAGCAGGCCTCAGGGAGGGCACCACAGGGGCGGGCTCGCCCAGCCTCCCGCCGAGACAAGGGCGCTCTCAGCGAGCTCCCCGCACATCCCCATCAGGTGGTTCCACCAGGCCCAGGCTGGGCATAGACTGGGCACACAGAGGGAGGTGTGGGTCTCAGACCTGCCGAGAGCTGTACCTGACCTCAGCCCACCCACCGGCCGGCTCTCCCTTGCTCTGCTCGGGTGCCTTCCGACCTCCCAGACCCCACTAACCCCAGGTTTCTCTCTGCAGTTAAGCCTGTGGTCGAACCCCTGTGTCCCAAGTGCCCAGGTAAGCCAGCTGGAGCTCACCTCCAGCCCACAGAACACGCCCCAGATCAGAAGGTAGGCCCAGCCCAGGCACTGACATGTACCCCGTCTCTCCTCCACCAGCTCCTGAGCTCCTGGGGGGACCATCAGTCTTCATCTTCCCCCCAAAGCCCAAGGACACTCTCATGATCTCCCTGACACCCGAGGTCAACTGCATGGTGGTGGACGTGGGCCCTGACGACCCTGAGGTACAGTTCAACTGGTACGTGGACGGCACAGAGGTGCACACAGCCCGGGAGAAGGTGCAGGAAGAGCAGTTCAACAGCACCTACCGCGTGGTCAGCACCCTCCCCATCGCGCACCAGGACTGGCTGAAGGGCAAGGAGTTCAAGTGCAAGGTCAACAGCCGAGCCCTCCCAGCCCCCATCGAGAGGACAATCTCCAAAGTCAGAGGTGGGCAGGGAGACGGGCGGGCGGGGCCTGTGGGGCTGCCCTGGCCACCTCTGCCCTGGGGTGACCTCGGAGTTGCTCCCTGTACCCACAGGCCAGGCCCGGCAGCCCCGGGTGTACGTCATGCCAC